ATGTGAGTTTAAATAAACTATTCAAGAAAAAAAAATCTTAAACTATCATCTAATTAATATTATTCATAGAATTAAATAAAGTAATCAAAAAAAAAAATTAATTTGAAAACTATTATCTTGATAATTGTTATAATAACATTTTGCTAATTAAGATTAATGTTATATCGACTAGAAACGAATATTATATAAAAAGAAATAATTTTAATATGAGTTGTTACTTTCCAATATGTGACGATAGCATCGTTATTGATGTCTATTCTTCTTTTTGCTCTTTTCTATGTAAGGGTGGGTGTGATTTTGTAAGAGAAGAGAATATGAATACTCACACCCACACTTAAGAGAAGTAAATGAAGAATATATACATTAAAGACAACAAAGTCTAATTTTATCGTGACCTATCATGACAAACAGCTTTTATCAAAATTTCATTGTTATGATAATGGTTGACGAATAATTAAATATCACATAAATGTAGGTCAATTTTTGTTATTATTAAAACATATAAAAAAAGAAAATTCTTTCAAATTTTCTATTATACAAAAATAAAATATAATTGATCTAAGTAATATCTTAAGTCAATTATGATTTTGACAATATATAGATAATGTAAACAGTTCAATAATAAAATATTTCTTCAGTTGAAAGAAATTTTAAATATTCTTACTCATACAAATATAGTTACGAAGTTATGATAGAGAATGTCAATTTTGGAGCATTTTTCAAACTTTAATATTAATTATTTCAACTAACCAGTGAAATTTCTCATATGATTAAAAGCTTTTAAACTCATACTATGCTTAGCTATAGAAGATCAATAGACTAAAGTTTTCAGGCGAAAGATTGAGTAACTACAGAGAAAAGTTACTATTCAAATCAAATCTTAACGTCAGTACGAATCTTTAGGAGATTGTTCTAATCTCAAATCTTCTATGATTAGGAAAAATTATGGATTCTAATATTTTTAATCATCCTATAGTCTTTCTTCGTGAGTGAATAATTTTAGAAAGATATATACGATCTCTAGACTTACAAGAAATATATATCATATGGAAACAAGGCAATCAAAAGTACTTATTCTATTTAACCCTTAAGAGCTGAAAGGCCTTATCGTCAAAAATTGAAAAAACTAACCACTCAACTAGAAGTTCTAAGACCCCAATAAGAATTATTTATAGTAAAAAAGAAAAATTTTTTTTTTTCTTACGGAGATATAAAATGTCCTTTGGAAGGGACATTGAGTCTTAACGGTCCAAATTTTTCACTGTTCTTAGTTTATATGAAAAGAGTTTTTTTCACCGAATACTTTTCTTTATGTATTTTTTGATACACGAAGGATCAATTGAAGCAATATTTCGCAGTTTTTCAACATTTATGCACTTTCTATTTCATTATTATGCTTGCCCATAGGGTCATCCAAGTATCGGCGAGTCAATATTAGCTATGAGAAAACAATCATCTTATACTTGCGCTAGTGGTTTTACTTCACCGTCGAAGTGGTTATTAAATGCTCTACGAGAGTAGAACCAGGACTACCGTAACGGATTCAAAATTAAGTGAAGAAAATTTAAGAATCATCGAAAATTTCCGACAATTGGAGCGAGTAGGTGTGCCCTCCCTTGGTTCTCCGCTCACGGCAGGCCTTATTAAGATCAAAAATAACCAAAAAATCGCTCGAATATTACTTTAACAATTCTTAGACTGTTCGAATATTTTGGTCCGTTTTGACTCAACGTTCCTTCCAAGGGACATTTCCTTTAAGAGGTCACAATGCATCAATTGATCAATGAAAACATTGCGGGATGGTTTTCTACGATAGTCTAACGATGTACCTCGCGATACCGCTTAAAAAAAACAGACTTTCTTCTCGTATTCAGCAATAAAGAGATGTTTCAAAATAAAAATTTGTCACTTAAAAAATTACAAGCCTAAAAAAACATATTATTTCCTCTGACAGTTACTCAGAATTTCTTTTTCTCGTTTTTTAATGAGCCACAAGGTCATTTAAGTCGAAGAAAACAAAGAATATTGTATACAGAGTATTATTGCATGTTTTATTGAAATTTTCGCAATGTCCCTTGAAAGGGACATTCAGCTCTTAAGGGTTAAGAATATTTCATTGATTAATATGCAGATATAAAAAATATATATATATCCAAAAATAAATTATTTTGTTAATCATAAATATTCTAGTTTTAATTATTATAAATTAGAACTTAAAATTAATTAATCCTAAGGAAATATTCCTTGAGAGTTTTGAAATACTTTCTTTTACTATCAAATTTTTAAGTTAAATATCAATTGTTAAAACATCCTATTTCATCATTCTATTCTTTCTCTTGTAGGCATAATCTAAAGTAAAAATGGCCAAGATGGTTCTGAAACAAGAATGATTAATGAGTATGTTATCTTATTTCTACATAAGAATAAAGTATTTCAACTGACCAATGACTTTTGTCCGTTCAAAATCTATGTAAGTCAATGCAGTTTGTTAAATATTGATTTTGAATATTCTCATTTGACAACGATGTTTTTTTTTAGTAAAATTTTAAATGCGTATCATTTTAAGATTGGATTTTTTTTGCTCTTACATAATCTTACTCAAGTATTAGAAATCTATCTTAACTGAATTAATGTTTGATAGTTTTCGAAATTAGTTCATATTATAAATGAATTCAAACTAATATTTATTTTTTTCTATACTATTCGAGTCATATATATTTGTATTTATTTCTTATGTATCCGAAATGATAAAAACATGTATGACGTAGGCTATTTACTAGTTGTTAATCATCGATACTATTGTCCTTGCTCATACTTTACATTAAAAACGTAGAAATGTTTATTGTATTCAAGGAATATTACTAGTTCTACATCATTTATCACGTTTTCATTTGTTAGTATAAATGAAGCAATGAAAAACAAATGTCAGAAAGCTGTTTGAAATCCTTTTTCTGTCTTATAACTTACGAAGAAAATATTCGAGATATCCAACTTTGTTTTAATTCATTTTCGTCGATTTTATTGAAGTAAGAAAAAGTTTTAGAAAATTCAAGTCTAAGACCTACTGGTCAAATGATACAGTCATTTTACTAAAATTTTTATTCAATGAAAACACACTTCTCTATTTCGAGATATTCCATATCTAAAAAAAGAAGACAACGGCTTACTATAGAAGAACACAGCAGTCGAATCTATTTGGAAATTGAATATCTTGATAAAAATATGTTCGTTTTCCTTGAATGATTCTCAATAAAATACCCATAACTTCTTCGCCAGTAAGTTATGAGCTCGCTTTCTCTAAGATTTTCTTCGGAGGTTAACAGAATCTATCGAATGAGGTATGAATCAAAACAATGCTAGAAAATTCTGATATTTTCCTCGTGAGTACTTATCGAAATTGGATTGGATGTATAACGTTCTTTTCAGAACTGGATTAGGAGTTGGAATATAGCATCTGAAAGAGCTCTAGGGGTCGCTAGAACCTTGTGAATCAGAATCAAGATAATAATTTCATATATATATATATTTCGAAAGAAAAATTTCTTTCGTTAGTTATTTGAAATATTTTCTTTATTTAGATTGATTCTGATGTTCAAGTATGAAAATTTTTGTGTAAGATTTTATAAATAGAATTTTTCTTTTTTCAAATATGATTCAATATATTATTTCATTTTGTATGATGATTATAAATGAATCAAACGAAATATTTCAATACAATCGTTCTTCTTAAATCTAATGTATGTTTTTCGTTTCGTAAAAGACAACGAACAATATATTTATTTATTTTTCATTTAGTTTTGATCGACTATGAAAGTAAAACTAAATAGATTAATATAAATTATAGAATTTTCTTTTTAATGATGGTTTCTATATATATTCGGTATCTAAAACTTAGATACACCTACCTAGGATCCGCCTGGACCCCAACTTATTTTATTTAAATGTTATTCACACACAATGTCAGACCACTCTAGTGAAGATTTGTACTATATGTCGCTGACGTCAGTCGTTAGTCATGACTAGTTGCTTACGTGATAAATTATCTCGAAGTACGTGTGAACACTTGTTACCCACCTGGGGTCTACCCGGACCCCAGTGAAATTTCTGACACTTTAGGGACATCTAGTAGAGTACGCTGGTAACAACAATCAATCAAGCTGATGCTTGGAAAATAGAGTGTTACTTCAGGAACAATTAGTTTCCAGCTACATTGCATATTGCCGAAATTTCAATTCTAAGAAAAAAGAAATCATGCTAGGGACGAGAACAATGTAAAAAAAAGTTTGAATAAATATCATTCAAAATAACTGCTGTTCTGTTTGTTCTTCTTAGACATAAGTTTCCTTCAGAACTATTATAATCCTATTACAAAACAATCGCAATGTAGTATATTGTTTCCATTTTATCAGGCTGGCGTCCGTACGAACCCCAGGTGGTCAACAAGTGGCAGTCCAAAAGGTGGGCGTTTCAGGGTTAATCAAAACATTAAAAAAATTCTAGCAAAAATTTTGTTAGGTCAGAAAGTCTTCATCTAAAGACGTAAGGAAATTCCTCATGGTCATTCTTCGAAATGAGTATCATTAACAGATAAATTTGACATTAGAGCCCATTGAACTTGCAAACATCTTAATATTCTCTAGTCCACATAGATAAATATCTGATGTATAATTTTTATTTCTCAGTTTTGTGTAATTCGAATTAGATGTGTACATCTACCTGTGTAACATGCCGAAAACATAAAAATGATTCATGAGTATTATTTAATCTTTATCGTAAATAGACATTATTTCTTTTTTCTTGTTCGTTTCTATGCATGATGCAACATACTGATGTAATGTCTTACCGAAGACAATTCTGTATCCCATATGGCATAATAAAAATAAAATAAAAAAAAAATGATGCATAACCTTTTATTATTACAATTATATGACGAATGTTCGTGTTTTTATTATAAATAGATTTTCAATTTTTAGATTTTCTTTTGTATTTAAAACAGAAGAATGGCTGAAGCATCATTACCAGCTAATGATAAATATCAATTGATTACACGTAATCTACAAGAAGTTATTGGTGATGAACGTTTACGAAAAATTTTAAGTGAACGTGATCTACGTGTTTATTGGGGTACAGCAACAACAGGACGACCTCATATTGGTTATTTTGTACCTATGACTAAAATAGCTGATTTTTTACATGCTGGTTGTGAGGTAAAAAAAAAAAAATTTTTTTTTTTTTGTTTTTAATATAATTGAAAATCCAACTTTTTTTCTTTCTTCCTAAGGTAACAATACTTTTTGCTGATCTTCATGCATTTTTGGATAATATGAAAGCACCATGGGAATTATTAGGTCATCGTACAGCTTATTATGAACATATTATTAAATCTATGTTAAAATCTATTGGTGTACCACTTGAAAAATTAAGATTTGTTCGAGGAACTGATTTTCAATTATCTCGTGAATATACACTTGATGTTTATCGTTTATCTTCGGTTGTAACAGAACATGATGCTAAAAAAGCTGGTGCAGAAGTTGTTAAACAAGTTTCCTCACCATTTCTTAGTGGTTTACTCTATCCAGGTTTACAAGTATGTACAAAAATAAAAGTATATTTTTGATATTTATGATTGTTGTTGTTTTTTTTTCTTCTAGGCTCTTGATGAAGAATATTTAAAAGTTGATGCTCAATTTGGTGGTGTTGATCAAAGAAAAATTTTTACATTTGCTGAAGAAGTTTGTTTTTTTTCTTCTATGTATAGATTTTATTATTTCTTGACTTCATTTAGAATTTACCAAGTCTTGGTTATGCAAAACGAATTCATTTAATGAATCCAATGGGTAAATCTTTTTTTCATAGATCACTTTCAAGAATTGACCTATCAAAAAAAAAAAATTTCCTTAGATACAAATTTGATTGTTCTAGAAAAAGAGAACAAAACTGTTTCGAAAGAACTTATGTATTAAAAGAATTGTTTTAATAGTTCTTACAATTTGAACTGAACTTTTCGATTTCTAATCATTATTATTATTTAGTTCCTGGTTTATCTGGTGAAAAGATGAGTGCAAGTATTGAAGACAGTAAAATTGATTTACTTGATACACCTGAACAAATTAAAAAGAAACTTAAAAAAGCATTTTGTGAACCAGGAAATATTGAAAATAATGGTGTACTTGCATTTTGTAAAAGTGTTATTTTTCCATTACTCAAGGATGAAAGTTAGTCAAATTATATTTTTGATCAATTCTACATATAAAATTATTTCATTTTTATTTTTTTTGTAAAGGTTTAGTACTTCCAAGATCAGCTGAATATGGTGGACCAATGACATTTAATAATTATGCTCAATTAGAAGAAGGTTTTCTTAAACAGGTATGAAAAAAAACAAAAACAAAGTATTAGGAAAATAGATTTTATTTTTATAGGAAGTACATCCAGGTGATCTTAAAAATGGTGTTGGAATATATCTTAATCGATTACTTGATCCAATTCGAAAAGAATTCGAACCTGATAATATGCAACAAATAATATTAAATGCTTATCCACCACCGGTTCCAATACAACAGAAAAAGAGTAAAAAAAAAAATTAATTATCTAAAAAACAAAAAGTTTTATAATATTTTCCGATATCTTATTTATCAAAAGTTTTAGTTTATTTAAAGTCTAATTTTCTAATTATATTTGAGTTTGTATTTAACAACATATTCATAAGGAATGTGAGGATGTAACATCATGATATGATCAAAAGATCGAGTTGTTTGAACTTGTAAATGAATTCAAGTGGAAGACAGTATTTTAGGAAAAAAAAATAGGGCATCGTCACTAATCATCTACTCAGATTCGTGTTCTCCTAATAGAACTTAGATTATTCTACACTACGAATTATTTAAGCAAAGAATTAATTCGAATAAAATTTTGTTTTTACAAAACATAATTCATACGCTTGTGATACACAATATAAAATAGTTGCAAAGCATTGTAACATAATGAGTTCCAACCAATCTCAACAAAATTATTCGTTAGCGGCAGCGACGTACGCAGAAATTTTTCAAGGGGGGTGCGCCATGGCACAAAAAATTTTTTATCACGCGAAAATATTTTTTCCTGTACCCCGTCCAGGACTTTTTCGTCTCAAGAGGGGGCCCTCGGCCCCCCTGCGTACGCGTATGTTCACAAAGCAAAAATTTGTGTATCTCAAGATAGCGAACTTTCCTAGGGCTAATTTTTATATGTTATATGTACGTTGGATATCTTAATAAAAAAATCAGCGCTAGAGACCTTTGCTTTGAGACATTATCAATATGACAAAGTACGAATATACAAACGAACAAATGCTCTTTTAACCGAATGAAAAGTTCGAAATCAATGTTGAAGAGTACAAATCGTTCTTCGGAATCTCTAGAGGATGTTAAAACAAATATTTTTTCTTTTTGTTTTGAGACTTGATAGAATCTTTAGAAAATTGTATGATCATATATGCTGAAGTTTTCAGATATGTTTTTCTTGTATGATTAGAGAAATATTTGTTAATTACTTATTTAATTAAGATGTCAAAAGAACTTATTTGACAAAAACAACAATATGAAATAGTCACAATATTAACACTGATTTCTTTCTAATCTTGAAGTATTCTTCTGTGTATAGTAGTCATAGATATGAGTTAAATTTAGTTCTTTTGAAAATTATTACTTCTGATGGACATATCTTCATTTAAAATTTTTTTTTTTTTCTTTTTTTCAAGAAAAACCATCTGGACAAAAAGGACAACGACCAGCTACAACAAATGTATCTGAATTAGCCCATAATATTGATGAACATCTTACCATTGAAAATGGCGCAAGTTCAAAACCAACAGCTGGTGATGAAAAATTGCACTCGACAATAAATCAAAATGACAAAGTTTAATTTGCATAATGCAAATATTATTTTATTTTGTTTTTCAATATTTTTCATTGCCTATCAAAACGTGTTGTTTGTGTTTTCTTGTTATACCATATTAAACGTGGACGTGAACGATTTTAATAAGGGAATATATATATAACAATCATTGTTAGAACAAAAAAACAAAAAAGGGATCTATTGCTAGAAAAATAGTTATAACATTGAGACTTTCTTATCTACTACATATAAAATACAAAAAAAAAAAAGAGTAGAGGAAGAATTGATCCATTAGTCTTATCTTTCGTCAAAATGTTAATCTTGACCGATGAACAAAAAAGAGAGGAAAAGAATAAAAAGAAAAAGAAAGAAAAAACAGAAAGAATAGCGAGCTCATCGTATGATACGAATAATCTATTCAACAAATTCATTTTGTGTCATAAACGGTAAAGAATCAATTGAAAAGGTAAAGAAAAAGTTTATGTCTCATGACAAAGAGCAAGATCAAAGCTTTATATACGTTTTCTAAATTTTAATAGACTTCTAAAATTGAACATATGTATCATTATGTTATTTCTCACAAAGAAAAACAAAATATTCATCATTCGATCAGTACTAAAAATTCATATTGTACTATTTTAAACAATCGAAGATGTTCATTCTAGTAACTTGTGCATCAGTTTAATTGACACAGACGTTAGATTTCAATTGTACTTGAGATGAAGATAAAGAATACTTCTCATATATTTAAAATCACTTTAGATCTCTAATTGGTTCCAAACATTATCGTCAAAATGAATGAACAGTGATTATAAAAACCAAAATTTAATAATTTTCGTCTTAGTCTTATTTTTTTCTGCAAGAAATAATACAATGATATACATGTTCAATGTTAGAAATCTATTAAAATTTCAAAAATAGTTATAAAGATTTGATCTTATGATATATGTAGAATATGCAATGGGGCATATTTTGAAGAAAGAAATTAACGTTTTATCATATTGTGAAATACAATTGTATTTAAAAAAAAATGTCTTAAAATTTTTGTAGAACCCGATAGAAGAAAAGAATTTTAATATTTCCTGAGAAATGTTCATCTTTATTTTCAAGGAATAAGATGAATTATACATTTTGAAAATTCATAGTAAGATTTTTATTAGTAATTTTCAATTCAGAATATATTGCACTTATAGGATTATAAACATTTCGTAAAACTTAATATCTCATGTATTCTATGAATCTTTTAATTACTTGTCAAATATGTATTGATTTTATTGTTATACTCATCAACAAGTGGTTCTAAATGGGTAAATGTCATAAAACAAAAAAAAAAAGACAACTTAGACGATTATTTTTTTTTACGCTATAAACAAACGAATTTATCTTCTTTTAAGGTCAATAACAAATAGCAAAAAAAAAAATATTTTTTTGCAACACGGCATGAGTCTTCTTTTTATTTCGTTCTTTCGAGACCACCTAATAGAGTGCTATAATAGTCTTGCACAACAAAAAAAAAAAACAGAACATCAAAAGAAAAAACTTTGCTCATACAATTATATTTATTTCCTTTCATCCTAATTCTCTCATTTGGAATTTAAAGCAAAAAAAAAAAAAAGATGCGTAACGAACAATTATTGACTAGCTATCGAACTGAAAAGTAAATTAAATTTTATGGAAAAATACAAATTAAATTGTTTTTTTTTGATTTAAATAGAGGTATTGGACGAATGAAAAAACGTGAAATTAATGAACTAGAACCATATTTAGAAAAACGAACAGGTTTTATGTGGCTACCACAAAAGGATACTGAATATTATACATCTGAAATATATCATATAAATCTACAATTATCTCAAAATAGACGTGATCTTATGAATATATCTGATTATTTATTATGGTCAATTGGAAATTTTATTCTCTTTTTTCCTTTAGGTGTTATTTGTGTTATTTTATCTGTACGTGTACGTGAACATAAACATAATAAAGATTATGAGACATCATTAAAAATTTCACAAAGAACTTTAATAATGAATATATTTACTAGTGTTGTTGGTATTTGTTTTCTTGTTACAATGTTAGCTTTATTAATTAATAAATCATCTACAAATTTTTAATAGATTTTTTTTTTTTCGTTTCATACCTTGCTTTTCTTTTGTTGTTTATATTTGCAATGAATTTGAAACTTGTTCAATAATAAATTTAGTCGATTGATTTGTGTTCTTTTAATTTTCCTTATAGTATGAGTTTAATGGTAGTGTTACCAAAGAGGAACGAATTTTTTCTTAATATTATAACATCAATATTCTAGTTGATTTTCGTATTATTATTTTTTTAAAGTAATATCAATTTCTATATGTTATTCATGATCATATATTTTCAATGTCATCAAGCTCGATCATATGGATTTGCTTAACTGTTCATGTTTTCGATTTTTTATTAAAAGATAAGAGAAATCTCTGTTTGAATAATTATTTCAATGCACCTATTTTATCTTTATTATTTTGCATTTTTCTTTAATATTAACATGAATGCAATATGTCATCGATTAGGTTTTTTTTTCTTCTGCTTATCTATATTGGCAAAATAGAAGATGAAAATAGCAGGTGTGCATCGAATTAGACCCCATTAATGTTGTTGCTAATTTATATTCATAGATGCAGTAATGTCAATAGAAAAAAAAAGAACTCATGAAATAGTTTGTTTTTACAGGTAAAAAATATTCAGGCAAGTATTCTTTATTAATTTGTTAACTGTTAAAATCACAATATATGACTTAAATTTCATTCAAACAAAAAAGATCAAGAAACATTTTTCTCATTTACAAGTAAAAAAAAATGAAAAGCTAATCATCATTTCTTTAAAGATTGAAAAAATAGAACAATGTCTTTGTTCCCATGATAAAACAGATGTTAATATGAATATAAAATCGAAATAAAAATAATTTTAATGCTGCTTTCAATATTCGAAATGTCATTTTTTCTTTTTCATTCATACTTTTGATATAAAGTCATGGATTTCTTTTCTTGAATTTTGAATTTTCACAGTTCTATTCAAGTTCATCGATTGAATTTGATAAATATTAAATTGATAAGAGCAAGCTCGTTTCATATATTGTATTTATTTACAAAACAACTGATTGATGAATTTTATTATTCGTAAATTTTGAATCGTCATTCCTCATCGAAAAAAGAAGGACTTGTTTATATGTATACTTCATTAAGAAACAGGTGAAAATAAATTAGTAACAGAAAGCATATCACACGATAGACACGCTATTCAGAAAAGAAACTGCTATGATCAACAAGTCGTCTCATTAGTACCGTATCAAACCGAAATTGAAGTTGACAATGTAATGTTTGTTAATATTAGTTATATTTCTATAACACTGTTGATTTCATTCGAACTACTCAAAATAGGAATAAATGTCTAATATTGATGTGACATTTATTTTTTAATGAGAACAATTAATTGATGAAACACGAAATTGTTCACTAGGATCTCGATATATTCGGATACATCTGTATTTTTGAAACTTAATGATACAAAATCGAGAAGTATATGCTAACGTAACAAACAATCAAATACAAAATAAATTTATTTCTCTATATTCTTTCACATTCTTACTTTTAAGAAAAATGTAAATATTGATACACAGATCAATGATGACAGCAGGAATCCGACGATTGTATTCAGTCACTGAATTTTCACTTCCATGTTACTGCTGTACTTCATTAAATTGAGTATATATTGAAAAAACTAACGACTAGACGTCATTAGAATATTTTTTTTAATGATCAACCAACAGAGTTAAACAAAAACACACGATTGGAATATCAAAATCTTTCTTTTTATTTTGGAATGTTTCTTTAAAAATTATTAAATAAGGAATAAATTAATTCAGTCCATATTTGAACATTACGCTTACTTTGAATGATAATTAGTTCAAGAACAAAAAAAAGGTTTTCTTGTTTTACAAAGAGTCTTTACGACTTAATGTGTGGAGAACAACTTCATTGTGTTGCTATATTTTCTTTTTTGGATTCTTATCCATTAATTAATAGAAAATTCTATTACGATGGCTTAAATATTAAAGTAAATAACTTGAATGATTGTATTAGGAATGCTTACAGATATATTCTCATAATCTTCAAGGTGAAAGTACAAGAAAAATATGTTCATGTAAAAAAAAAAAAGAAAAGCTTGTTTTTTTTTTCGGTCAATCGAATGTCATTCGAAATAGGTTGGATGTTATCAATCGTTTATTTTTTTTCTTCTTAATCTCTATACTTGATCAAAACAAAAAAAGTATTCCAAAGTCGTCTGATTAAAAGTAGAATTCCAACTTAGGTCACTACGTATGTAAATATACTTCGAGGTAATATCAGTATAAACGAAGAGAATATATGCATGTTTTTCTTTTTTGTTTTTTTACTGATATTTTTTTATTAATTATTAGGCATGTCCTTGCTACGCATGACATCACAAGAGAACATACAATTTATAAAATAAATGCGTTAGATTTATCAAAACTAATAAAACAAATATATACTCAAAACGGTTCTACACAAACAGACAACAATCATTTTCGATAATTGGTCAATTCTCAGAATAAGACTTTTTTTGCCTTATTCTTCGAGTATAACAAATTCTTATAATAAGTTTATACAAGAATTTTGTTCATCGTAAGTCAAATAATAATTAACAAAAATTAAAATGTCGTTAATTTAGAGTTTTCATTGAATAAAATCATCAAAATTATAATAGATCTGAAATGGGTAAGATTACTCGAATCCATTCTTTATCTATAAAAGTTAATATAATTAAACATTGAAGTTTTTGCTCTTAAATTTTTTTTTTGCTTTACAATTCTTTAACTAGTACAGAAAATAGTTTACAAATTTTAGATCATGTTACAATTGTTTATAATACTTAATTCAAAATAAACAATTTATTAAGCATAAATACGTTAAAAAATCTCGAATACATACAAACTTAAAAAATGTTTTCCTAATCTTCATTTATATATA